TATATATATATATATATATTATATATATATATATATATATATATATATATATATATATATATATATATATATGTGTGTGTGTGTGTGTGTGTGTGTAGTGTATATATATATATATATATATATATATATGTGTGTGTGTGTGTGTACACGTGTGTATAAACGTGATTGTACACCAGCTTTGTATGGAGTAATGTCAGCGAGTATACAATTATCACAAACTAGCGTGACAGTTGTGCCCAAATACAGCCAATACGCATGCGTTGCTTGAGTACTATATTCAATCGACCACTACACAGTGACACAGCCTTCTGCATTTACAGGTACGTAGATTATACATATAGACTAGAATCGCTCGAACTTTGTGCTCTCGGGCCTGTTTTATATAAAAATACATAGCCCTCTAACTTATACAAAAATACTAATTTCTGTTTATTTTTTTACACATATTTTTGTGTTGAATTTAGAAGGCTATGATATTTGCCAGAGGCGGATGACTCATCCGTTTATCGGCAGTTTTGGTTTGGTGGAATGTTTTTGGGGCAGACATCCATGGGCTACTGCTATGGGCCCTCTCTTCTAAATACTAGAGGGAGGGGTTGGTCTCAATCCGTTAAATTATTTATTTTTTAAATGTAAGCGGGAGCCGCATATGTATTCACCTTCTGTTTATAAATACATGCTTTTTTTTTCTTTAAATATAAAAATAAAACGTATTATCTATAAAGCAGCAGGAAGAAAACTGGAGAAAATGTCGACCAACATTTTCGATATAAAAAAAGAGTGTACATACCACAGCCCACAGCAGGGCTTCAATCATCCACCCATATTTAAAATACCATCAAGCTTGGGAATGATAAACGTAAACGTAAATGTTTATATTTTTACCCAAGTATATTTACGGGGGTTTTTTTAACGAAAAATATTGGGGCCTAGCAACCGAATTATGTCGCTGATACCAACATCAATTTAAAGTGTTTGAATGCACGTCGTACAGACGTATATACACTACTAGTAGTAGAGAGAGAGACACAAGTTTTGACCTTTTTGTACCGACTACCATAGTACTAAATGACTGTTATGCAGAGGATATTTAGCAACACTACTAGTAGAGGGGCTGCCAACCTGACGCCACTTTAACTCTGTGATGTAGTTCGGATGACAGCCGTTTCGATTGTCTTATTGGCGATAATAGCTTTCAAACATTGAAAGTCAAGATGCAGCTAATTTTCACCCCCTTTTTTTTGCGCTTTTGCAAACATATCATTAGGAATATTCTGTTCTGGTCCACATAGGTTGCTGAGTACTGACCTGCACTGTTCTGAAAATTGTAATCGCGATGCCCATAAGCGGGCCTAAGAGCAAAAACCGGCAGTGAAGGTAGTAGTAGGGAGCATAATACTTGATGACAACTATATAT